CCGGCGTGTCTTGTGGATCTTGCTTGTTCGTAGTTGTACTGTTTGTTTAGTCTTTTGTCTTTGTCTAGACTTTCCCTTGGCGCGGATTTTTGCCCCGTCTAACTTGAACCCACCCCGCCCTCCCCCAATTTCAACCCAAACCCCGCTTACGCAACACAATCTTTTCTGTCTTCTCTTCGTATTTTTCCTCTGTGTCTTTCGTTGCAATGTGCTGGGTTCGTCTCTGCCCCCGCCTTGCACACCGTGCGCGTGTTCTTGTTTGCTCCACTGCGTCCTGCGCTTCACGTTCTTGGTTGGCTAGCTGGCTTGCTGTTGTCTAAGCTTTCTTCTGCCGCCGTTGCTTCGCCATGAATGTGCTACAAGGGCTTTCTAGGGCTGACGCCCCGTCTACACAACAGCCTTGGTTTAGCCAAAAGCTTTGCTGCACTCAAACCCACTCCTGTACAGACCAACCCTGTCTTACACAAGTGCCCTGCCCGGCTTCCTCACCTTCATGCTCTTGCTGGGTCGGCTGCTTTGCTACTCTCTCTCTCTTGACTGCACTGAAGAGCAGGGTTGGCTCCCACCTTTTCAGGGTCTAGGACTTCTATCTTGGTGAGCAAGAGTAACACCAGCCTTTTAGGAACCAAATCCACAAAATGCTCACTTTATCGTGGCGGTACCGCCGAAGCCAGCCTGGGGTTGCAACTTACACTTGTACAAAACCTGTCAACCATCATCGATAAATTTCGATTTCATAGTCAGGTGCTGTTTCGCCCTTGCTCTTTTCGACTCTGGGCTGGGTCATCTGTCGCTTGGCTCCGGCAGCTCGACGTCAGCAAGTTGAAGAGTACCTGCAGCTGACACAAAGGGACCACGAATCGGGGCCGTCAACATGTGCAAAGTTGGGTCAAGTTGCACAAAGTGTCTCAGAATCTCAACGTTCTCAACTCTTGAAGGAACATGAGGGCTGGGTCATCTGGCGATTGGTTCCGGCAGCTCGACGTCAGCAAGTTGAAGAGTACCTGCAGCTGACACAAAACGACCACAAATCGGGGCCGTCAACATGTGCAAAGTTGGGTCAAGTTGCACAAAGTCTCTCAAGAATCTCAATGTTCTCAACTCTTGAAGGAACATGAGGGCTGGGTCGTCTGGCGATTGGTTCCGGCAGCTCGACGTCAGCAAGTTGAAGAGCACCTGAAGCTGACCTAAAACGACCACAAATTGGGGCCATCAACATGTGCACAGTTGGGTCAGGTTGCACCAAGTGTCTCAAGAATCTCAATTTCTCAACTCTTGAAGGAGCATGAGGGCTGGGTCGTCTGGCGATTGGTTCCGGCAGCTCGACGTCAGCAAGTTGAAGAGCACCTGAAGCTGACACAAAATGACGACAAATCGGGGCCATCAACATGTGCAAAGTTGGGTCAAGTTGCACAAAGTGTCTCAATAATCTCAATGTTCTCAACTCTTGCAGGAACATGAGGGCTGGGTCATCTGGCGATTGGTTCCGGCAGCTCGACGTCAGCAAGTAGAAGAGCACCTGAAGCTGACACAAAACGACCACAAATCGGGACCATCAACATGTGCAAAGTTGGGTCAAGTTGCACAAAGTGTCTCAAGAATCTCAATGTTCCCAACTCTTGAAGGAACATGAGGGCTGGGTCATCTGGCGATTGGTTCCGGCAGCTCAACGTCAGCAAGTTGAAGAGCACCTGCAGCTGACACAAAACGACCACAAATCGGGGCCGTCAACATGTGCAAAGTTGGGTGAAGTTGCACAAAGTGTCTCAAGAATCTCAATGTTCTCAACTCTTGAAGGAACATGAGGTAATAAAAACGAAAGGCTATGCAATGTGAAGGATTTATCATCTATTGCCCCTATTTCTTGAGTTCTTGTAGCCCACTACCAATGAAACGTTTGCTCATCTGAGCTTCAAAAGCAAGTTTGCTTAGAACATGTCTCTGTACCTTCAGACCATTTTGCAGCCAATCCTTCGTCTGCACCTTTGTGATAGTCTTCAATTCAACAACTTTCCATCGTGCAGTGCGTTTTGCATTCTGCAACTGGTTGGAAACACCTGGGGATCTGGTCACGAACATGCTGAGCAAATGCAAACTTCTCAGGCAAAGGTAGCCCCGCCGCTCCCAGCAACCCCCTCAAGGCGTACGCCCCAAGGGGCGGGGCCGCGCCAGGGGCAATTCTGCCTTCTCCACCCAGCCAGTTGTGACCATGGCCTGCTTCCCTTCTTGCCCGTAGCGCCGCGCAGCCGCTGGGCTCAGCACCCCCACGACGGCCCCGAGCACATAGGCCCTTGATGAGGTGGCTTGGCTAGTCAGGTGCCTGGGTCGTCCAGTCCCGCTCCCGGACGGTGCCCTGGCCATCTTCACCAAGTCGCATGGCCACCCGTTTGAGGCGTGCATCATCCTCTGTCAGCTGAAATGCACTTTTTTTTTCCTCTTTTTGACAAGTGGGTGCGGTCCACTTGCTGCCACTCAGCTTCTGGTAATGCTTCAGCTGCAGCGCCAGGGATGGCCACGAGCAAGAACATCTTGACCAAGTGGCTGTGGCTGGGCTGGTTCCACTCACCGAAATAGTGGCAAATGCCATATCGCGCTGCCATTGCATGGGACTGTGAGGTGTAGGCACCTCGGCCGCAGGCCGTCCCATTGGCGCTGTTGTCACTTTCGGAAGGTAGAATTTCGCCAACAGCCAAGGCACTTGACACCCCGTTTAGGAATATGATAGAATAATCCCTTGGGAATTCCACCTCTCTCCGGGCTCAGATTTGATAAGCATGTCACTGGATATACTTATCGAATCATATTGAATCTAAATCCAAGTTCTAGGCCACGTATTTACTTTTAAAATCTGGGCTCCCGAGATAGACAAAACCAACAAATTGTTTATAAACCGAAGGACCCAAGCTAGACAAAACCCCCCCCCAAAAAAAAAGAGAGCTGGCCGCTGTGGGAGTGCACTTTTTTCCATGCAGTCATTACATTAACCATTATATTAGTCATTATATTAGTCATTATATACGTCATTAAATGAATCATTATTTTTATCATTATATGAATCATTATATGAATAATTATATGAATCATTATATGAATCATTATATCAATCATTAAATGAATCATGAAATGAATCATCATTATATCAGCCATTATATAATTTATTATATTAATCATTTTATTCATCATTACATTAGTCATTATATATATCATTAAATTAATCATTATATTAGTCAATAAGTTATCAAGTACATCAGCAATTACAAAAATCATTATATTAATCATTATCTTAGTCATTATAAAAGTCATTAAATGAATCATGAAATGAATCATTATATTTATCATTATATGAATCATTAAATTAATCACTATATTAATTATATTAGTCATTGCATTAGGCATTATACGAACCATTACATTAATCATTATATGAATCATGATAATACTCATGAGATTAATCATTAAATTCTTCATTTTAATAATCATTAAACTAGTCATTATATTGATCATTATAATAATCATGATGTTGATTATTTTATTAATCATTAGATTGATCATTATATTAGTCATTATATGAATTATTACTTTAATCATTATATTAATCAGTATATTAATCATTATATCAATCATTATACTAATCATTATAACATTCATTATACTAGCCATTGTATTTATCATTATATTAGTCATTAAATTAATCATTATATTAATCATTATATTAATCATTATATTAATCATTACATTACTCATTATATATAAACTCATTAAATTAGTCAGTATTTTACTCATGATATTAATCATTGTATTCATCATAATAGTAATCATTATATTAATCATTCTTGAAATAAAACCATGATACTAGCCATTATAAAAGTCATTAAGTGAATCATGAAATGAATAAGTATATTTATCATTAAATGAATCATTATATTAATCATTATATTTATCATTGTATGAATCATGATATTATAGTACATACCGTTATTATAGAAGATATTCAGGAATTACCGGAAAACCGATCTTCTATTTGAAACGGGTTTGGACGTGCGGAAAAATCCATTTCAAATAGAAGATAAATTAATTCAATGACCCAAAATGGTAGAACATCCGGGATGTTGGAGCTACTTTGGCACTCTCCGCAACCATGGCCCCGGGAGGGTCCAAACTAATATCTTCTATTTAAAAACCATTTAGACCAACACCAAAAGCACAAACTTGGTGGATCATCCAACCGAATATCTTCTATTTAAAAAATGATTTGTCGCACAATCTTGTTCTGAAAATTTAGGGTTGGCATAATGAATATCTTCTATTTGAAATGGTCTTTTCCGCTTCCCCATTGGTTGTTTGACAATATCTTCTATTTGAAAAAAAATGTCGGCCAATCTTGTTTTGAGAATTTGGAGTAAATATGGGTAAATACATGTGCATATAGTGAATATCTTCTATTTGAAATGGTCTTTTCCGCTTCCCCGTTGGTTGTTTGACAATATCTTCTATTTGAAAATGGTTTGTCGGCCAATCTTGTTTTGAGAATTTGGGAAAATAATGCCAGCATCTTCTATTTGAAAACGGGATTTCCCTTTTTTTGGGCTTGTGATGGGAACCTCTGGAAAATAATGCCAATATCTTCTATTTGAAAACGGGATTTCCGTTGTTTTTTTTGGCTTGTGATGGCAACCTCGGGAAAATAATATCAATATCTTCTATTTGAAAACGGAATTTCTGTGTTTTTTCTGGGCTTGTGATGGGAACCTCATTTGAAAACGGGATTTCCGTGTCTTTTTGGGCTTTTCTGGAAAATAATGCCAATATCTTCTATTTGAAAACGGGATTTCCCTTTTTTTGGGCTTGTGATGGGAACCTCTGGAAAATAATATCAATATCTTCTATTTGAAAACGGAATTTCCGTGTTTGTTCTGGGCTTGTGATGGGAACCTTATTTGAAAACGAGATTCCGTGTCTTTTTGAGCTTTTCTGGAAAATAATGCCAATATCTTCTATTTGAAAACGGGATTTCCCTTTTTTTGGGCTTGTGATGGGAACCTCTGGAAAATAATATCAATATCTTCTATTTGAAAACGGAATTTCCGTGTTTTTTTCTGGGCTTGTGATGGGAACCTCATTTGAAAACGGGATTTCCCTTTTTTGAGGCTTGTGATGGGAACCTCTGGAAATAATGCCAATATCTTCTATTTGAAAACGGGATTTCCCTTTTTTTGGGCTTGTGATGGGAACCTGTGGAAAATAATATCAATATCTTCTATTTGAAAACAGGATTTCCGTTGTTTTTTTTTGGCTTGTGATAGCAACCTCTGGAAAATAAAATCAATTATCTTCTATTTGAAAACGGAATTTCCGTGTTTTTTCTGGGCTTGTGATGGGCACCTCATTTGAAAACGGGATTTCCGTGTCTTCTTGGGCTTTTCTGGAAAAAAATGCTAATATCTTCTATTTGAAAAAGGGATTTCCCCTTTTTTGGGCTTGTGATGGGAACCCCTGGAAAATAATTCCAATATCTTCTATTTGAAAACGGAATTTCCGTGTTTTTTTTGGGCTTGTGATGGGAACCTCATTTGAAAACGGGATTTCCGTGTCTTTTTGGGCTTTTCTGGAAAATAATGCCAATATCTTCTATTTGAAAACGGGATTTCCCTTTTTTTGGGCTTGTGATGGGAACCTCTGGAAAATAATATCAATATCTTCTATTTGAAAACGGAATTTCCGTGTTTTTTCTGGGCTTGTGATGGGAACCTCATTTGAAAACGGGATTTCCGTGTCTTTTTGGGCTTTTCTGAAAAATAATGCCAATATCTTCTATTTGAAAACGGGATTTCCCTTTTTTTGGGCTTGTGATGGGAACCTCTGGAAAATAATGCCAATATCTTCTATTTGAAAACGGGATTTCCCTTTTTTTAGGCTTGTGATGGGAGCCTCTGGAAAATAATGCCAATATCTTCTATTTGAAAACGGGATTTCCGTTGTTGTTTTTGGCTTGTGATGGCAACCTCTGGAAAATAGTATCAACATCTTTTATTTGAAAACGGAATTTCCGTGTTTTTTCTGGGCTTGTGATGGGAACCTCATTTGAAAACGGGATTTCCGTGTCTTTTTGGGCTTTTCTGGAAAATAATGCCAAGTCTTCTATTTGAAAACGGGATTTTCCTTTTCTCCTAGCGACCGCGGACTCACCCACAGGTTTCCCGCGTCGATCGGACAGGCTGCGTGGCCTGGGGGGCTGACGTTTGGCGTTGGGCGGTGGCGTCCCCGGGGGGTTGCTCCGCTTGTGGGTTGGTGCTCCTTATATCCTTGACTCCGGCTTTCCCGCTGGGTCCTGTGGTTGGGGGTTGGGTTTCTGTGGTTTCCTAGGGGGTGGGTGGTCCCCTTATTCGCCCGGGGGGCCGCCTGCGGGCGGGTTGTGTTGTTCTCTGTTGCTGTTGCTTTATTTCCGTTTGCGTGTTTTTTTTATTTTGTTGTTTTTGGGTTTGTGATGGGAACCTCTGGAAAATATTCCAATATCTTCTATTTGAAAACGGAATTTCCGTGTTTTTTTCTGGGCTTGTGATGGGAACCTCATTTGAAAACGGGATTTCCGTGTCTTTTTGGGCTTTTCTGAAAAATAATGCCAATATCTTCTATTTGAAAACGGGATTTCCCTTTTTTTGGGCTTGTGATGGGAACCTCTGGAAAATAATGCCAATATCTTCTATTTGAAAACGGGATTTCCGTGTTTTTTCTGGGCTTGTGATGGGAACCTCATTTGAAAACGGGATTTCCGTGTCTTTTTGGGCTTTTCTGGAAAATAATGCCAATATCTTCTATTTCAAAACGGGATAGAAGCGGGACCCGGCCGGAGGTACTTTTGCACTCCCCTCTTCGGGGGGTCACCCGGGTCTGGGCGTCAATGTTCTATTGATTTTATTTAAAAAAAATCCCTGCAAAAAATCACAAACAATTACAGTGGGACAAACAATTTTCAAATAGACGATATTGCAAACATCATCCCAATGTTGATGGTTGCAAAGTGCAAAAGTAGTTCAAAAGACCAACAATCCAACAGTAACCCCTTCAACATTGGGATGATCTTTGCAATATCTTCTATTTGAAAACTGTTTTTCATGCATTCGGGATCTGTCGAACTCATGGGGTTACAAATGAATATCCTCTATTTGAAAACAATTTGGTGGAACTCTCTGGGTTCCCTCATGAAATATTATCTTCTATTTGAAAAGTGTTTTTCAGTACTCCTCGAATATCTTCTATTTGAAAAATAAATAGCATTACAGATTATCTTCTATTTGAAAAATGGTTTGAATCACCATCCCTCAATCAAAAAAACTAAAAAACCCATTGTTTTTGAACAGTTTTTCACCGACCCCCCCCCCGAAAGCGAGAATGCCAAAGTACCTCCGGCCGGGTCCCACTTCGGGAGGTACTTTGGCACTCTCCTCTTCGGGGGGTCACCCAGGTCCGGGCGTCAATGTTCTATTGATTTTAGATAATTCCCCTGCAAAAAACACAAAAAATGGCAGTGGGACAAAAGGTTTTCAAATAGAAGATATTCCAAAGATCATCCCAATGTTGAGGGGTTTATTCTTGGATTTTTGGTCATTTGAACTACTTTTGCACTCTGCAATATCTTCTATTTGAAAC